AGTAGGAGTAGGAGTAGGAGTAGGAGTAGGAGTAGGAGTAGGAGTAGGAGGAGTAGTAGTAGTAGTAGTGGTAGTGGTACTGGTACTGATAGTGTTAGTAGTTAGTAGTTAGTAGTTAGTAGTAGGTAGTAGGTAGTAGTAAGTAGTAAGTAGTACGGACTACAGAGTACGTAGTAAGTAGTAAGTCGTAAAGTAGTGTTGTAAGTAGTAGTAGGTAGTAGGTCCTAGGTCGTAGGTAGGTAGGTAGGTAGGTAAGTAGGTAGATAAGTAGGTAGATAAGTACGTAGGTAGGTAGGTAGGTAAGCAAGTAACTAAGTAAGTAAGTAAGTAAGTAAGTAAGTGGTAGTAGTAGGAGTAGCAGTAGCAGTAGCAGTAGCAGTAGGAGTTGCAGTAGCAGTAGCAGTAGCAGGAGCAGCAGTAGTAGTAGTAGTCGTAGTGGTAGTGGTAGTGGTAATGGTAGTAGTAGAAGCAGCAGCAGCAGCAGCAGTGGTAGGTAGTCGAGTAGAATGGATCTTGAAGGGCAGCAATAGCAGAACAAGAGAAAAACACCCTTGGCGAAGAAATCCTTTTTTAGTCCCACCCATTAAACTGTTCAGGGTGTGGGAATATTTTTGCAATTGTTTTAGTTTTACTCATTCTCTCCCATTTGACTATTAGGACTTGACATTACCTTCCTGCTGTTGTCAGCCTCCCCGGCAGTCCCTCTACTTCGACCGCTATACCAAGCTCTTAGCGCCGGAGCTCAACATGATGTCCGACGAGCGCATCTCCAAGTTCGGCGCCGACGAGCGAGTCCCGCCTGCGGGTGCCGCGAGTCCCGCTCCACGGGAGCTGGAGGTGCGGAGATGGGGAAAGTGAGAAAAATAGAAGTCCGCTAGTAGTAACAAGTGCATCGCTAGTAGTAACAAGTGCTAGTAGTAGTGTGTTGGCTGGAGGCATCCGCTTCGGGTGGTGATGTTTATATAGATCCTCCTGACCTCTCCTGAGGATGTTTATGGATGTTTTTTTAGTGTTTTTTCCTTCGAATTGACGTTTGGAAAGCAGCACCACCCATTTGGGGTGGTGATATATCATCATAGATCCCCGCTACTAGATGCAGTATATGAATATGGGTGTGCATAGTGCACTAGGGAGGCCTCCCAGGCGTTCCGACCCCCCTTTCCAGGTTCACCAGTGTACCCAGCCTTCCGGGCCAGGGAGGGTTCCCTATTGCAATACACACCAAACAGTTTGTTTTTAGTCCAGCACCTTCCGTTCGGGGTCACCTGACCAGGTCCGCAGATACTTGTGGATCTCCATTGGACACCTCTTGGATGGTCCAAGTATACTCTTGATGGGTCTTTGTGTTTATTTACCCTAGCCTTCAGAGACCATTTTATACATGGTTGACGTGGTTTTGTAGTGTAAAATCCTTAGCAAAACAATGGTTGTTTGGTAAAGACCATTCAAACAATGGTGGGTTTGAATCCTATGTGGCCTTCCATCCAATCCACGTATCTGCATCGAGCGGGGCTGGAAACCGCATTCCGGCGCTCGGATGGGGAGTTTTACAGTGTGTTTATGTTTATTTCCGCGACGCTTTCGGGGCGAAATCGCAGATGCCTTCCGGTTTGGGCGTCTATGATATGTGTGTATATATATACATACACACCATTTTCATAGCCGGGTATGGAGATTTCTCACTTCTGCATGGACATTGTGGGTGAGAGTTACTTCTGGGGCACAGTCCCATGTTGTCAATACACTGTACACCTCCATGGTGCTTGGAGCCAGGCAGCAACTGCGGGATGAGTGGCTGAAAGGACCCGCGCATGTGCTGCAGCCAAGTTTCAGGGATCACTTAGCGATCCGCCATGGCTTGAATGTGGTGTACTGTGGTGAGTGTTAGGGATTCTTCAAAAGGGTGGACTCTGAAAATGGCTGACTTGAATTGACTAGAAGACAGCTTTCTTTGCATCTCGTTCTTGGGTGTAGGTTTTGGGATTGGGAGCAGGTGTCCCAACAAGCTGAGTGATTTTTGGGTGTCCAATAAACTCCGAGTGGGCGATATGTCAATATTTCAATAGGGTGACCCTCAACCAAAGGGTTTTGGCTTATATATTTCCCGAATCTTCCACGGGTTCGAACCGGGAGGTGTTCCGATTTTAATACACTATTGCACACCCCCAAGTCTGTTGGACGAACTTGCAAGTCTGAGACGACTCCAAAGCCTTGAGGCGCCTTCGTTCGTGGTTTCTCCATTTCTCCGTCCAAGAGTGGGGTGCGAACCCCAAATGAATCGCTTCGATCGCTTAGATCGCTAGTGGAAACCTCAGTTCAACTCAAACACAGGTGAGAAAACCGAGTCGATGGTGTGGATTGAAAACCAGGTCGCCCTCCCACGGAGATGGTGAACTCAGATGGGACTTTGCGGCCATGCGGTGCGAAAAGACATGAAAAGACTGAGCAGGAACAGACGCCATCAAGTAGAGGGTGCAAGTAGAGGGTGCCTCCCCTGCATTGGTTAAATGATGTTAAATGCTTCTCATCCAATGCTGATCAATGGGAGTCGAGGCATCCTGGGACATCTGTTCTTCACCCCAATGAAGCACGGAACCATTTCCAGGAGACTTGAGAGCAGCGTGCGCAGCTGGGCGAGCTGGATCCTGTACAGAGTTAGATCTGGTTCAAAAACAGAAACGAAACCGTCCGTTGTTTTTCCTTTGGAAGGCCTCACAAATGAGTGGTACTGCAAATGAAGCAAGTCTACCCGACTCCTTTTCCCGGTGTGCGTCAAAGACGCATCACCGGCCCATTTTCGGTCCCTCCCGGTGGGGGGGGACCCGGCAGTTGCCGAGGGACTGGGAGGAACATGGATTCGTTACGGTTTCGGATATGTTTATTTTCCAACCCTTACTTGGGGATGATTGGACCGTTTGACTATGTTTGACTCATATGTTTCAAGTGGGCTGAAAACACCAACCAGATAACATGTTCCAATGTGTTCCAATCAAAAAGGATCAAACAGGTATCTTCAGAATGGAAAGTCACATGTTGGAACAGTCGAAGAGGATGAAATTCGTTCGAATGTTCATTCCTGCTGGAAAGGGGTGCCTGGCAGAGGAGTTTGATACTTTGGCGTTCAACATCATAACCCATCATCTCACCCTCAACCCCAAAAGCATCCAAAAACCACTCCTCCAGGATGCAGCTCCTGAGGATCCTCCAATTGTATATAGCAATATTATCTAATAATATTAAGTCATTCCATGCAGCTGGACCTCCAGCGTTTGGAAACGGCCTCTGGCCTCCTCTCGCACCCGTGGCTCGGCTCGCGCCGCGAAGCGCCTCAAAACAGCTCACGACTTCAGCTCAAAGGAAGTGCGGTCGGCTGGGTCGGGGCTGGGTCGCTGTGGAACGCCGAAGGGTTTGGTTCAATGGTTATTTGTTTTTGTTTTTCTCCCGAAAGACTTGGTGAAAGGGCTCTTCCTCAAGGTTCTTGGTTTGCCTAGCTCAGTTTCTTTTTTTGTGTATATATAATATATTATATATATTATCTTTTTGCTATGCTTTGAATAGTCAACTGACGAATGCAACTGTTTTTGGATATCTATTCTTACTATTCTCAGGATATTCTCAGGGGTTTATGTACTTGAGGATCTCTGTTTCGAGAAACCCCCAGTGGTCGATGGACATAAAAGCAGTGAAACATGGCCATCAGTCAGTGGACGAAGCGCAAAGTAGATGAACAGTGATTAGCCAGCACCACCCATGGGTTATTGGAAGGAAATACATCTAGTTCAAGGGGTTTCTATCAACCACCCTCTCCGTGCTGGAGGCTTTTGCTGTCTTCCTTTGTGCCATGGCGGGGTGGCTCCTTGACATCGGTCCACATGTGCCAACGAAGACCGTGAAGCGGCAGCCATATGGCCGGCCAGTACCAGAAAGTCCCAGAAAACCATTTTTACTTTACGCTTAAAGTCCAATTGTGCCATGTCAGCAGTGAGCAGCTCGCCAAAGCAAAACGAGCCCCCACACAAACCTCGGCTCTTTTGAAGCGTTTGGTTCTCTGTTCCGGCAGTTTGGGCTCGGTCTCTTCGGGCTGACCCCACGCAGGTCGCCCACTTGGTCTGCGCCCATTGCGCAGTTTGTGGATGAGCAGTGCATCATCTTCGAGGATCAGGTGCCACCGCGACGCCGGTGACGTCCGTTCAACGGGGAAGCGTCCGTTCGCCCGTTGTCCTTGGCGAACGGACGTGTGAAAGGGAGCGGTAAGGGGTACCGGTTTGGGGGTTTTCAGAGTCTGAGACTCCATCTGATTGGACCTTGGGTCTGGACCTATTTACCTGTAACAGTCAGTAAACAAGTATCAAGCCGTTTACAAAGCATCATTCACTGTTAGCTGGTGTATTGGGATGATAGACTCGATATGGACCTATTTACCTCGATTTACATCAGGGGTCAATGTAGGCATACACGGAGCATTTGGGTTAGATAGCAGATCAGACTCTCACCAGGAATTGGTGGCGCCATTGAACCGGAGGCGTCGCAGTCACCAAATGGTTTCGAAAGGATTTGTCAAAGGCCAGGTTTCTGGGAGTTGAACATGGACCAAGCCAGCTAGTAGCTTGCAGCCGCAAGCAATGACAGGGTGGACACTTGGAAGATGACCGACCACCCTAAGCCTTGGGGCTTGGCTTCACGCACTCGCCGTGTCGGGCACTGGACCCGATGGGGAGGTTCCTCTAAATCGATCGCAGGAAGAGAACAAGCTAGAGTACACCGAGTGTCACAACGAGTACAAGGAGCTTATAGGCCAGGGGGAGCTTAGAGCTTATCGCCGCTGCGGCACGAGATCGAATCCCCGGAAAACACGCACCAAACGGTCGCGACCGTTTCTGGATTTGTTTGGTAAGAGTTTGGCCACAGGACACTGGGAGCGTTTTCCCATGCGACACTGGGAGTGCATACTCCAGTGGCCGCCTTTTTCCAGGCCACGTTCTCCCCAAAACGACTGCTCACCTCGTACGTGGCCGCCGGCCTGAAAAAACAACTGACACTGCTGAGGAATCTCGGAAAAGGTGATTGAACATTCCTTGAAACAAGATGAAACAAGTCCATTCTTCTAATTGCCTAGTGCTCCAACTACTTCCTGAGAAGGCTGCTGGGGTGTGCTTGCCAGGGGGTCTGGGCCCCACATTCTGAGGATCTGGGCCAGGAGCCCTAGGGATTTATAGTTGCTCTCGTAACCATTCATAACCTAAGCGACACGACGGGGGACGCCACGGGACGACTCAGAACGTTCAGAACTTCCGCCGCAGCTGGCGCCAGGGTTGGTCAGAACCTCCGGTTGAAGATGCCATTGAGTTGAAGAGCTGACCTGTTCGATCGTTGGAACGGCGGAGCTTGAAGCTAAACAGTCAGGGCTGTGCCATGAAAATGAAGTTCCACTTAGTCCATGGGGGGTTCTTCGTGTGCGGACACCACTCACCATCACCTTCGCCTGCTTGGAATCTTTGCTACTTTGCGGCTCAGACGGTCTGCGTGAACAGGGCCGCCTGCGCCGCTTGCGTGCGTGTTCTCCTTCGTGGTGTGTGAAACCTTTCGCAGTGCAGCTGGGTGGCACTTTGGGACGCTTGCCATCCGTTGCCAGGCAAACCATCACCAGACCCTACAAAGGCTTACCACCTGACCACGACTTTGGGGGGGAGAATCAATATACTGACGGAATCATTCACTTTTCAACTTGGGTGGCCTGACCAACTCAAACCGTCGCACCTTGCTCCTCACCCTGAAAAACTCATCGTCCCTCCTTGGGTTGAGGAGCCGGAAGGGTGAAGCCTTCCCCACTCCGCAAGCCCAGCGAGCTCCGCGTGCCG